TATAAAACTAGATGGGATTAAAAAGACCTATGGTTATTGATCGTTGAGTAGTTGATATGATTTATATATTTATAATTCTCTACAACTAGTAAATCTTATTTCTCATATGTAAATATAAGTCGATTAGATCAAATTACATTAAATTATTTTCTCTTGTGTGTTTATTTGATCGTTTGATTATACTTATACTGTGCTAGATATTTAATAGGATTGAAGCTTTTATGCCTAATAAGTGGCATCAAAATTATAGTGATCCCAACAATTTGCTCTTTCCAAATTAGGAAATTAGTTAGTATCAAAATATCAAGAAAGTCATTTTAAATGATGATAATAAAAATGAAGCAATAATTGAAAATATTCCATTTTTTGTTTAATAGAAGAAATTTTTAAAAAAATATATGAATGTAATTATTATAAACTTAATATTTTTTTTAAAATTGTCATATATTTATATTTTCTCATTATGTATATGTATAACATAATTTTCACCTAAAATTATATGAGTACTTCTATTTGCACCTAAGCTTCTTCTCCATAAACCCCAACTTTTTAAGTTTTAATAAAATTATTTAAATACCTATTAGTTAATTACATTTTTGTCTTTCATACCCTTTTGCGAAAATTTATTTTTAAATGCTCTTGAAGGTTTTTGAAAATGAATGTTCAGAAACCTTTAAGAACTTCCGAAAGTTCTTAAAAACTTTTAAATGTCTATTTCCATAAAACTTGGATTTCTGGAAGTTATTAAAGGCTTCTAGATATCTATTTTTGAAAACCTTTAAAAACTTTCAGAAATCTATTTTGGAAAGTTTCAAATTGCACCCAAACATTTTAACATGAAATTTTACGAAACTAAATATGAAATCAAATGAAAAAGTAGAAAGAACAAATGATTTGACTTTAATTTTATACTTTTTAACTTCAAATTGTTAAAATTTTCTTTGAATTTAGCTTGATTAAGGTTTAAAATCCTTTAAGTTTTCAATTGGGAAAAAAGAAAAAGGAGATGGGAAGTGAAAAAAGGAAGATGGGGTGTTTGAGTTTTTGGTATGGGGTATATTGAGTAAAAAATAGAGTGTTAAAAGTAGGTGTATTGAGTAATTATTGGGATGCAAATAGCAATATTCAAATTATATACTTAAAGATGAAAACATAGGACAAAGTTTATTACTTTCATTGTTGACAATACATTTATATGTAATTATATTTTGCTAACAAGTATAAAAATTTCATACACCAATCATTCAATCAAATCATTAATAAATCCTATTTTAAGATGTACTATTTTACCATAAACTAAAAAATTTGAAGAATATTTTAGAAATATTGACTTAATTTATATTAATATATTTATTTAATTTAGTTTTGATACTTGTATTATAATAAACTTATGATTTTAACTTATTATTACATATTAAACTATGGATAGCAAATCATTTAGCATACATTGTGTTTTTTTTTCTTTTTAGATATACGCAAATTAATATAACATAGTAGTAGATAATTGATAATTGATAATTTAGTAATTAATTATTGAAAACTTAAAAGTAATCTATATAACTTAGTAGTAATCAATTAATAATTTGGTAATAAATAATTGATAATTTGATAGTAAATCATTAATAGTTTAGAAGTAAATCACTAATAATATAGTAGTAAATCAATGATAATTTAATTTTTCAATTAGTGATCTTTTTTATAGTTGAAGTTGTCAAAAATTAAATCTTGGTTACTAATATAAATCAAGTTAATTAAGACATTAATTTTGGGAGGTTAGAATAAATCAACCATGAACGATGAACCTATTCAATAAAAAAATTTAGTAAAAAAATTTTAAATTTGAATGAAACAATAATATTATTATATAAAATAATTATTTTATATGAGACATGCACTTTTGTTGCGGAAATCCATTGTTAAATATATAATGGTACAAATTTTATCAATAATTGCTAAAAATATATTATAAATCACCAAAATTATATGAAAGGTCACCAAAATTACATTAAGAGGCTATCAAAATTTTATAAAAAATTACCAAATTGGTATCAATGATTATAAAATTATATCATAAATTACTAAATTAATACCAAAAGCTACCATTGAAAGTTACAAAAATTACCAAAACATAACAAATATTATCAAAATCAAAATTATACTAAAAAAGTTATACAATTTTACTTATATTATAGCAAAATCAAAATTAAATTTTAATATTTATCATTATTATCATAGTATAAAAAAGTCATTTATTGAATTGAAATTTTAAAGATAAAAATTACACATACATTACGCACGTGCCAAAGACCAAAAAATTAAAAGGTCTCTTCCTTTGGTTGAAGAATTAAACTTACATAATCAGCATACTTATACTTTGAATTGATTTTGCTAGAACATTTTTTTTAATACTGCAATTTGGAAAACAAGAGACAAATAGCAAAAATAAAAACACCAACCAAAAAGAATATTTATCTACCAATTCTTTGATTGCAAGAATTGGTGCCCAAGCTGCATCTCAAACTTAAAAAAAAAAAGTGCTTTGGAAGCCTAAGAAGTCTGAAATGAATGAGAGAATGCAATTCTGAAGCAATGAAAACAATGGATGAACAGATTACGCCTAAAGTCAACAGTGTAATCAATGACCAAATATAGGCAACGAAACAAAGGACCATAAATTTTGTCCAAATTAACTTGAAACACAGTTCATTTCCATGGTAAATGGTTCTAATATTAATGCCTGGCTAGCTTAGGTGGGTATGGCAGAGTGACAACTCCTTCAGAATGATTGTCGCCATTGCCATTTCCCAACTTGCAACAACCATTGTAACGTCCAAATCAATTATAATGTGAAAGAAGGTTAAATATTGTACAATTAAAACAGGATAAATAGATTTATGTGTATCTAATTTTTTAAAATCTATATAAAAGAATCACTTAAACAAATAAACCAAAAAAAAAAAAAAAAGCACATAATTGAACAAATCTAATATAAAGTTTGATCAAACTTATACATAGTTAGACTTGAACTTAAGATTTCAAGACTTCCTCTTTATCACCAAGCCAAATTCTCATTGGTGTTATAAACTTTTTTTTTTTTATTCTTATAATTAACATAAGGAAGAAGAAGTGGTACAAGTGGGGTTGGCAACTAGCCATGAGGAAAAAAATGACCCCATATTATTCAGCTCAATAACTCTATGAAAAAATGAGGAATAAATTTATGATTAGAATACCAAATGTCTTTTTTTTTTTTTTTTTGTGTGTCTTCTAGGGTTACCCTAAACAATTAGAATTTAGATTTTCAATTAGAAAATTTAAAATTCGAATCTTAAAAATAGATAATGAAATTACGAAATGAGGAATAAAAGAGTTAAATTTTGTGGTAAAACTCATCAAATATGAATAATTAATCTTCATATAATCGAGAATGATGTCTCATGGAAGTCAGTCGTTCCTTTATCATTACTTTATTGATACAACCACACTTTCACGATGCAAGACATTCCTTAGAAAAACAAAAACAAAAAACAAGAAAAGAAAGAGGATCACATGGAAGAGATTTAAATCACTAGTCTTTGGTCAAAACTAAAACTTTACAAGGTTATATTTTTTTTTTAACCTTAAGGAAATTATCCAATGTGATAAAGTAGATTATTTATATAAAGAGTTCATTTTTTTATACTTACAATGAAATTTTTTTAATTTTACAAGTGGGATGAAAATATTATCATATGTCTCACTTTTTTTTTACTATATCTTAACGGGAGTATATGTCACCTTTCTAATTTTGATAGTAAAATTTAAAATTTTCACTATAAAAAAAATGAAATAATTTCTCTTATATAAAAAAACAATAATTTATTTGGTTTCTAAAAGTTGGATATATCGAAACGGTTAAATTTTGAGATTTAATCTCAAAATTTTAATTTGAATGGGTATAGTTTATTCAATGCCTAATTAGTATTTGTATTTAGCCCTAAAATAATAAAAAAGCCCTTGAAATTTAACATTTTATTTAGATAAACCCTTATATTTTTATTGTACCTAAATAAACTCTTAATCTTTAATTTGCATTCAAATCAAATCTTAACATTTAATTTATATACAAATAAACCTTTAATTAATCCTTAATTTGTACATAAATAAACCTTAAACATAATACATAATGCATGTTAAATATCGGTTTCTCATGATCATAAATGCTTGAAGTTAAACCTTTTCTTATATAAAGAGTCAATTTTTACATGGTTTAATAGAGCTAAAAAATTTTGCATTAGTTAGTTTGAAATGAGCATTTATTATATACAAATTAAAGTATAAAAGTATATGGATTTATCTTAAGTAAGTGATAAACTTAAGGGTTTTTAAGTATTTTAGCCTACTCAACAAATACATGCACTAATAATAAAAAATAATTTTTATTTAGTCAAGGTCAATGTCAACCATGCATAACTTTGCTGCTCGATAAGTTAGGCTTCAAATAGTTCAAAATTGTTACAACATTGCATTCTATTAGTTTTCTTCTTTCCAAATGAAATGTTCTACTTTAATGGTCAATTTGGGAAATCAATAAAATTTTTAATTTTTTTAACTTGAAATTTTGAACAATTTCCCAAAAATTATGCATATAAAAACATTAGAAAAGTGGAAGTTCAAAGCTTAACACAAGAAAAACAAAAGGTTAACTAAAAACAAACATTATTCAGAGACATCTTTCCAAAGTATATATAAAATTCAAACAAGAAGAATATAAAATGAAAAAAATCTCTTTTGTCTATCCAAGAAAAAAATTAAAAAAAAAAAGAAGAAGCTGTCTATAACTCAACGAATAAGCATAAAAAGATTAACTGGAAAATGCTAATCAACAGACAATAAGAGTTCCCTTTATGCATAAAGATTCATATCCTTTGAGTCTGTTTCTTTGCAACTTAGCCCAACGTCTCAGTCACCACTCACTACCATTAATAATCCTTTTCAAAATGTCCTTTTCTCCCTCTCTCTCTCTCTCTCTCTCTCTCTCTCTCTCTCTCTCTAATGCAGTGCCCTCCTTCTATTCACATGAAAAGAAAAATTTTTTGAAAACGCCCAAAAAATTGGATAATGGAGTCTGAACCATACAAGTGATGATTCCCACCTTTCACCTTTCTTTTTATTCCTTCAGCTTTTTAATATATATAATACACCACTTAGAAGGAGAAGAAAAAAAACCCAAAACCAAATATTAAAAAAAGATAATAGAAGTATTAAAAAAATGGCAGATTACTTGGCTGGTTTTTATAAATGATGATAATCAGTAAAGTTGGTTGTTTACTTTTATAAATAGAAACCTCTCAACCCTTCCTGCTTCCATTTTCTGCATCTCTTCTGGCCAGATTTGTAGCAAAAAATAAAAGAAGAGAGAAATACCTCAAAGCTTTTTTTTTTTTTTTTCTGTTTCTGTCCTTAATTATCATACTTGCCCTTTTATTTTCTTTCCTCTCCAGGTTAGTCAGCTATAAACTGAAACATAATCCTTTTAATCATTTCCATTGCTTCACTTCTTTTGGGGTTCAATCAATCTTTTTCACTTCATACCCTGATTCATCCACTATTTATTCTCCTTGATCATCACCATATATATGTATGAGCCTACAAGAAGCACAAGAATTTTTATATTTGTTTTCCTGTAAACTTGACAGTGTAATTTTATAAAAGGAAGATAGTAAATGTTACTGTCTATGGTCAGTTGGTATATTTTTTTAGATATCTTTGTTTTGTTTTTCATATGGATTTTTCTGTTTCTCAGTTAGCAATCATGGTGTACCCCAATGAATCCCATGAAAACTCTCCCCAGAAGAAAATGGGAAGGGGAAAGATCGAGATCAAGCGGATCGAAAACACTACGAACCGTCAAGTTACCTTCTGCAAGAGGCGCAATGGTTTACTTAAAAAGGCTTATGAGTTATCAGTTCTTTGTGATGCAGAAGTAGCCCTGATTGTCTTCTCTAGCCGTGGCCGCCTCTATGAGTATGCTAATAATAGGTATATTTTCATCCCTTTCATCTTAATTTTCCTTCTTTTGAAAAAAAAAAAAAAACCCTCAGTTTTCACTTTATTCCAAAGGGAATTTTTCAGTTTCAATTTTCTTTTTTTTTTTTTTTGAAAAATACAATGAAAAATTTTGTTAATGGAGATATTGGGTGTCAGCTGGGTGAAAATTTTGGCTTTGCAACAGATCTTTGTGTTGATTCAACTAAAAGGGCAAAATTATTTTCGTATATTTTGGAGTAAAGCTTAGATTGAGTTCTCTTAAACTAAGATTCACTTGTCTTTCTTACTTCTATTTTGTCTTTTTTATTTGTATAAGCCTTTGGGCTTTTTTTTTTTTTCCTTCCTGTTTTGCTGTATGATCTTTTCTTGAGTTCCTACATTGGTGGATACATAGATCTGATGCAATATATAGAAATAGGGAAGCATTATGTTTTCTGGTAGTAACATATTAAAGTCTAGGTTTTTGGAACATTATATCATTGCAGGCCTGTAAGATCAGCTCCTTTCTCCTCCATTGTTGTTAAATCTTCTGTTTCCTATCCAAATTATTTCCTCTCCCTCTCTTTTCTCTTGGACGAGCCTGTCTCAACCATGGGGCTAAGAGGAAGGGCCTAGAACAGCAAAGCTGTCATGTTCCCATTAGCTCAAATCTCCCAAGCTCTCTTGGCACATCCTTAATGGCATGTCAGTTAAACATCAAGAAAGTAAAAGTACTTGGCCAAAATGAAACCAAAATAAAAACAGTAAGGAAATTTGTCCAAATTAAGAACCCAATCAAAGAAATCATATTAGGTTTTCAAAAACCCAGTTTTTTTTTTTTTTGAAACATGTTAAAACTCCTTTTTCCAACCAATCACAACCAAATCAAGCCTCAACTCAATCACATCTAAATTAGGGTTCTTCTTACACGAAATTTCACTAAATCCCACTTTGCACCACGTGAGTTCCCCTTCTTCACAGTCAAACATAACCATATTAGGGTTTTTTATTTATTTTTATTATTAACCACATAAGGCTATCAACTCTTCCTAAGACTTTTAATTGGTAACCCTTAAATCAAGTGAAGTAATCTTCCCGCAACCCATCACAACTCACCAAAATTTTATATAGTTTTAAATCTTTTTTGCCTTTCTTTTTCAATTACCACCCCTTGGTTTTTCTTGTTTCTATGCACTGTTAAATCTATCTAGGGTTTTGATGACCCCAGACTAAGATTAGGCTGGTGTTTTGTCTTAGTTATAGAATCTTTTAGTCTTACCACACACGATTTTTTCAGTTTCTTGACTACTGATAAATGGGTTTTATGACATGATTCCAAAACTGTGTTTTTCTTTGGTTTTCATGGTTTCAACCCCAAATTTATCTTAAATACGTTACATAGAGAAAACACCCAATACCCTTTTTTTTTTCTTCTTAGATCTCTCTTTCTCACTAAAGTAAAATTCTTTTACAAAAGATTATGTTGGAAAGAGAGAGAGAAAGAGAGTCGATTGAGCCAATGAAAATATGGCTCAAAAAACTGCTGAAAGGTTCATCTTTATAATGACTCACTGTTGGCATTAGCTTTGCAGTTTGCATTTGTTAAAGATCTTGCTTAGATATATTCGTGCAAGTTTTGAGAGAGGATAGAGAGGAGAGAAAAAAAATACTTCAAAAAAAAAAAGATAAAGTGAAGTCAGCAGTGTTGTTTCAAACAGACAACGTACGGCAACCGAGAGCCAATGGGAGAGGTCTGAGGTTTTGGCTTCTTCCGTAAAAATGTAACTATGGCTGCTGAAATGGACGGCTCTGATGTACTCAGAGTTGCAGACAGGGACAGAAGCTGATAAAATTACTATTCTATTTATATTTTATTATTAAATCTCTTTTGGGTTTTGGCTTTTATTTTACCCCTTTAAAATATTATTAAAATCATAGATTTTTACACTCTTTCTTTATCAAATGAGGTGGTTAATAACTAAAACAACAAACGACTTAGAGTATTATCCCTTGTGTAATGGGATTTTGAAACCTGGCAAAAGTTTTGACCATAGAGAGCTCTGAGCCAATTTAGTGTTAGAACAGTGCCAGCATGGCGAAGACAGCCAATCACTCGCTCGACGAAATTAAGGTATCAGCATGCTCGAGGAACTTTAACTAGTTGGGGGTGACAAGGGTCTTGTCAAATAAATAAACAACTATTTTTCTACTCCATGTAAACTTGGCTTCATGGTTTCCTATTAGATTCAGATTCAGTGAACTGAGAAAGTTTGGTTGATTTGACCGTTAAGCTTAATAATTAGCTAGCTAGTCTTAGGTATAATGATGCTGATTTTTCCAATCACCGTACTATTTGCTTAATTAGTAACTTGATTATGTTTTTTTTTCTTTTACATTATCAGGTTTTTAAAAAAATTATTAAAATTATTATTTAATATAAATATATCACTTTCTTCTCTAGTAATCATGATAATATTATTCATCAAACATAATAATTAAAAGATAGATATTTATTATAATATATTTAAATATATAATGTATAATAAATAATTAATTTTTAAAAAATATAATTATATAATTTAATTTTTAAAAAATCATGCATTAACGTAAAATAATAATTTTATATAAAGTTTTTAATAATTACCTCTTTTTTCTAACAGATACAATCATTCTATAGATGTGATTACTATTTTTAATTTCCTCATGCTGAAGATACATGATCAGCCTGTTAGATCAACTTAGTTTTGATGACTTATGAAGAAATATAAAGAATATTAAGTTGATTGAAACAAATTTTTGAAGAGTTTGATATTAAGGGGATAAAAAGCAGTAGTCTTCTTTCTCTACAGAATTTGCAATTTTTATTGTAAATTCTGCTCACATAATGTAACTAAATTTGACCCAAAAAAAGTGATGTGAGGTTCTTTCTTTTTCTTTTTTAATTTTTCATTCACAATCTTTGTGCTCATTACAGTGATTATAATTGCCTCTTCCTAATTTATTTAATTCAATGCAGTTCAGTATGCTTCAAAAGGCTTATTCAATATAAATGGAGCCTAAGAACATAATGCTTAGACAGCCTCACTCAATTATAATTTTTTGAATTAATCATAATGACATCGCTACAGATTGGTAATATTGGTTTCATACAAGCATTTCATGAATGTTTTATAGATTTTTTCTCTTAGGTCAATAAGACAATTTTGCTAAAATTTGCCAGGTTTTTATTATTCCATTTCTTTTTTGGTGACATCAATATTACGGTAGTGAATACTAATGTAGGTTTAACACGATAATGTGTACATAGTGCTGGTGCTCATCTTTTATCCATGAAAAGCGTTCACATATCACATTTATTGTAGATAACAGCTCTCTTTATGTTTCATAGAATATATCTTGACGTGTTTGTGTACGTTCTTTTTTTTTTTTTAATTACGCTGTCAGGATTTAAATTTTCATAACTAAAATTAAAAATATAATACTCTATTAACAGATTACATGATTGTCGATACGTATTCATATATATATATATATATATATATATAGTTATGAAAGCTTGCACGTATTGTAACTCCTCAACTAATTGATTAAAAAATGCAGTAGAAGTAATCATTTTTATATGACATTCATTGTCATTCATAGGATTATCTGTATTACGTGCTTTGTTTGCAGATCTAATTTATCTTATGTAACTAACGATGTTTGCAGTGTTAAAAGAACAATTGAGAGGTATAAAAAAGCTTCTTCTGATTCCTCCAATACTGGGTCAGTTTCTGAAGCTAATGCTCAGGTATAAAGTCAAACTCCATTTGTTTGTTTTTCTTGTACATATGGAAGTGCAGAGAATTCTACATGAAAAAGCAACCCTCTTTATTTCATAAACTTGATCTTTTTTCTCTCTAAGATTGAAATTTAACACCTCCAGATAGTCCATATTCAATGTCTTAAATATTGTTTAGATGTCCCAATGAGAGCATCATTCACAGCATGGAAAAGTGCAATTGACTGACTTCTTATTTTCACTGATGGTTTGTTACCACTATAAAAATAGTCTTTGCTTACAAATCGGAATTACTCCTATCATATTACTTTGAAATAAAATCGTAAAGTAATACAAAGTCTAATTTATAACTATTGAAAAATCCCCAAATAAAATAAAGTTCTCAAGAAGTTTTAATATCTATAAAACAATCAAATAACAAGTCTCCAAATCGTCAGTAGTTCTCCAATGCTCAGATTCTTCTAATTCCTCACAAGACTAATCCTACTTATCATTTATATCATTTATAAAAAAAAAAAAAGGAAAAATGAGCAAACCACAACCCAGCAAGTATTGACTCACACACTTTACCAAATCAAATATCATTTTCATACATATCATATAAATCATTCAAAATATTCATCAAATCATAATGTCAAAACATTTCAAAAACCACTATTCTATTAAACATTTCGCAAATTCATAAATCAATGTCAAAACATATCAATTCGTAAATCATTGTAAAATATGTTACCATTCAAATATCGTAATTAAACCAAATCACGGATCAATCATTAAAATAATCACAAATCATAATATAATCATTAGTTCATCATTAGCTACGATCGCTATTAGAACCCGTGACATTAGCTGTATCGATAATTTTATCTTCATGATCATTGCTAACTATTATAATCTGCTAGCTAGGGCCATACGCTAACTACTATAACCTATTAGCAGGGCCATATGATCATGTCTATGCTAACTATTATTACCTGTTATCCAGGACTATAGAACTAGTTTGGTGTCGATGATCCCACTTTTCAGGGATGTAAAAACATAGCTATTATAAAATCGTTATTTATGCATAAATCATTTTCTCATTTCATTCATAAGCGTGATCCATCATTTACATAGCAAAACACAAAATAATCATATGTTTAATCCTATTTTCATATATCAAAAATAAAAAAATAAAACATTCATTCATTTAGAAACATACATATATACATAGATTTGAAAACAAGTAAAATGTGTGAGATTCTACTTACTTCCTTTCGATTTTACCACTTAGTTTTTCTCTCAAAATAATTAACAGTCTATTTAAGATAATTTTAATATAAAAAAATCGATCAACCCATTTCAAGACTAATGATACCAAAAATAATTAAGTTAAACAAGGATAAACTCAACTAATTAATACTGACAGCCTAAGTTTCTTTCACTAAAATAGCCAATCTCAAGATATCCAATTCGAAATTAAGATATTTTTAATGCATTAGAAACTCGACTCGATAAGCTTTTAACCATATATGGCCCATCTTTTAATTCTTTATAGATTAATTATAAAAATTTTTGCAATCCACATCATATGCTGCTATCAAATAGTATGTATACATTTTAATAAAAATTACACATTTATTCATAGGAAACTCCAAATTCAATTTCGCTTGTTTCATTGAAAAATAGACTCAATAAGCTTTCCAAACATGTATGGCTTAATTTGTAATTCCTTGTATAAAAATTAAGAGGAATTTTATAATTCATCCCTACTGCTGCTACTAGGCAGCTTGTATATCTTTAAGTAAAAATTAAACTACTTTTCATAGAAAACTCAAAATTGACTTCTGTTTATTTCATTAGACAGCAAATTCAACAAACTTTCTAACGGTATATAATAATCATAGCAATATTTTATCACTTAATACAGAATATTATCTTAATCTACTACTGCAAACATTAGGGTTCATACAAAACCACAATTTTTCTTTTTAAACCCATCAAATTTCTATTTCCTATTTTTACAGGAATAAAACCACATTACGTACTAATTTTTTTAACACTTTATTAGACCTTAATTAAAGTCTAAATGATTTATCCAAACCAATCTTAAAGAGGAATAATAAATTTCCTAAAATTTTAGGGTTTCTCTATTATAAATTACACATCAATACTTAACAATCAACATTATTTCTCCAAAATTCAAAGAAATTATTTACTCACCTCTGACAGATAATTCTTCTTATAGATTTTATTTCTTCTCACCTCTGACAAACAATTCTCCTTATAGATTTTATTTCTTATATTTTACTTGAAATCCTTCAATTTGTCTTTTCTGTATATTAAAAAAAGAAGAAATAAGCTTTTTTTTTTTAGATCAATTATCGGTTAAACAAGTGGTAGATGCTAACCCTATTAAAAATTGGGTTATTTATCAATAGGTCCTATGCATTTCTTATTCTTTATTAAAGAATCCTTCCACTTATAAAAATACTTAAAATAGTTTCCTTTTTTTTTTTACAGGTTCAAATGTTTTGTGTTGAGATATAATTGTGCATCAAAACTTAGTCGTATTTCATGGTCTAAAGTTTCTTCTCAAATGAAAATTCCATTGCTGTGATTTTGAGTCTATGCAGTATTTTTTTCAGGGAAATTGAGAATTTTAGTTTAGTTCTAAACATTGAAGCAAATTGATTGGTCTTATGATAAACCTCATATACTTACTCAACTGGTAGAGTATACATTCAATTCTAGTTATTGATGACCTGAGTTAAACTAATGCCATGCGGATGTAAATCTCAGTTCTACCAGCAAGAAGCTGACAAATTACGCAATCAAATTCGAAATTTGCAGAAAACAAACAGGTTATTCCCTATGGTTTTCATTTAGTTCCATCATGTATGATTTTGTTTTGGAACCTTTTTCTATAAAAATGCTATATGCTTCCAGGCATATGCTGGGTGAGTCCCTGGTAGGATTGCCTATGAAGGAGCTTAGGGGCTTGGAGACTCGTTTAGAAAAAGGAATTAGCAGAATCCGTTCTAAAAAGGTCTCTCTTTTGTGATTGATATCTTATGTCTATAAAAATAATTCTTTTAAGATGACTATGCAAAATGTGATCTTTAATTATATTAGGTCTGGTATTGCCACTGACAATTTCTCCCTTTTCGTTTAATTTTCTTCCCATAAATCGTACCAGAATGAGCTGCTGTTTGCAGAAATTGAGTATATGCAGAAGAGGGTAAGAATTTTTTGGCACTCCAGTTGCTCTTCCTATCAAACTTAATTGAAAACGATTAATTGCCTGTGGAAAGGGATCTGAATGGTATGGGGTGATCTATGTAGACAGATGATGTTTCAGAAATATGTCTATATAATTTTGCGGTTATGTTGTGATTGGTACAAAGCCTGAAATACAAGGAGCTATAGCTTCTGATGGTGGAGCTGCTGCTTGTTCTAGTCTTGCAAACGACATTCAATCGTCTAAACATGGAATTTTCTAGCTCCATCTGGTTAATTACTAAAAAAAGTGCATTCATTATATAATATAAGCAGTTCCAGCTTTATCCGAGACTTGGCATTCCAATTACTGTATGCAACACTATATTTAATCCCTCCACAGATATAATTGTACTTTGTTCCTAGATATACAATGCGATGATCTCGATATAGGGATGGAATCATACTATTTTGTTAAAACCATTTCACGAGTCCTCTGAAAACGCTATTTTTTGTGTTTGTAAATTTCTCCATTGCAGGAAATTGACTTGCATAACAATAACCAACTTCTCCGAGCAAAGGTCTGTCTCTCTCTTTGTTTTTTCCAGTGGGTGTGAGTTTGCAGTCTTTTGGTGTCTTTGTATTTGGCAATCATATAGTGATATGAGGACCTCATTAATTACTGTTTGCTGCAGATAGCTGAGAATGAGAAGAGGCAGCAAAACATGAATTTGATGCCAGGAGGCTCTAACTTTGATGTCATGCATTCTCAACCATTTGACTCTCGGAACTACTTCCAAGTCAATGCGTTACAACCCGCCAACCATTACCCCGAGCAGGACCCAATGGCCCTTCAATTAGTGTAAGAATCTTTCACATCATTTTTTTTTGGGGGTAATGCACATCAAAATTACATAATCAACATGCACCATTTACAGTATTTTTCCATGTTCATGGAATATTACGTCTTTCTTCAAAATTAAACACATGAGAGCACCACACAACTGGCCCTATTGGATACCAATTATCACCCGATTTAATCATTAGGTTTTAGAGAACTCATATCATTTAGGTTTTAAATTGACTTAATGATCATGAAGGATAGTTAGCGAAATGTTAACCATGCTAAATTCGGTTACCAAAATATATATGATTCATCAGCCTGCCAGCAAGCACTCTATGAATTGTAATTTCCAATATTCCTATTTATTTCCTTTGGTTTAGATAGGTTTTCTTAGGTGTTAATATATATATATATATAAGTTTTCTTATTAGTAAAATGTCTATGTATTGGTCAATTTTTCATCATGGAAGTGTTAATTATTAAGACATAATGCTGATTCCAAATGGCCATCCCAGTTGACCTTAACAACTTGTTTCTATGCCTGTGCAGCTAATATTCTCGCGGAGTAAGTGGTACTTTCTGCTGTTTCTGTTTTAGAGAAGAACATCTTAGTATTATGTCAGATGAAAGGTACCAGTATCATGAAAATGCTATAAGGCAGGAATCAACTTCCCTTAAATGGAGGACTGTAGAACTGGTCCTCTGCCATGTTTTAGCTATGTAGAGTGTGTAAGACTGATAAGTTTGTTTGTCAGACAAGAACTCCTCTTCCATATGTTCAGAGCATGCACTATGATTCTACAAAGGTTATCCCTCATGAGTCATCATGACATTTCTCATTCTATGATATACATATATATCCCTAATTCTATTTTCTCATACATAGTCTTGTCTTTGTCTTTGTGGTTGTTTTACTAATGTCTATTTTTCTGTCTCAAAATTTACAGTTGAATTTAAAGGTTAGGACAGCCACAAAGACAAGACTTGTGTCCGTAAGACAAGAATTCAAGCTCTGCATATTCCCTAAATAACTCAACACCATTAGCATGAACTGTAGCTGTTAGTTAGTTTTGTAGACATATCCGGGAACTAACTAAAGGCTTGTCTGAGTAACTTAGCACAAGAGCTTAGTTTAAAAGGAATAAAAAGGGTCTTAACTTTTGATCTGGACAAAACAAATTAGAATATTCATGTCTAGTGCAGAATGAGCTAGTGGGTTTTTCTAACTCTTAGAACATGACTTAATTATTTGAAAATCCATGAACCCCTTGATTGTCTCAATCATTACACGTAACCTATAACTAGTTCTCATTAATAACAATGCATACCAATCAGAAAGTTGATTGGAATGAACATTGTTTGACAGTTTCCTGAAAATTAGTAATATTATGCAAATATAAATTCAAAGTCATCCATCATTATTAAAAAGTTTGAGCAATAACTAATCAAGTAATCTTCCATACTGCTTGTCTTGAATTCCATATGCAGAAATATCGTTGGAAAAGAAAACATGAAGTTGTCCCTTCTCAGGCCATTTATTACATGGTAATTCACTTCATATTCAAATTTCAAAGCAATCAAAATTTCAAGTGGAAACGTTTATGCTACTTAAGTTTTTTAATCTTTAAAGTATACAATTTGTCAAAATGCCAAAAATAAATAAATAAATAAAATAACAGTTGTTTTCACTGCTTTGGAAAGAAAACAACAGCTCCTGGCTTCTAGCTATTTCGAATGGTGAGTAATCAGGGTATCAGGCCACGAATGTCAGAAGCGATATCTTTCAAAGAGGGTCGAAATAATTTTGTTCGGTGGTTTTTTGCAACTAAGAAGTTAATAGCCTCGGAAGGATGAAAATTATCAAAGAACAGGAAGAATTTCCTGTCCCTGCAAGGAGCTTTGTTTGGGATACATTGACCTGTTCGCATTTCGACATCACAACATGCGGCCAATTTCAACAAAGAACCTGAGATCCACAAGAACAATTATGACACAAAAATGGCGAAATATAAACATATATATCATAAGAATTAGAGAAAAATTGCTAGTATAATAAAATGATGAAACAAATTCGTATGTTGTTGAGAATTGAGATAGCACCTGTACCAAGTAAAGAAACACGTCGAAGCAACGGCCCGAAGTTATCCAAAAAGATAAATTTTGCATCCTGGAATGTTTCATTAAGCTCGTCAACGAGTTGCTTGAGTTTGTTATTGAAAAATTGGATGACATTATTCACTTCCTCGACGCATAATTTGCCATTTGTTCCATGCGAAATTATTGCATCTGGGGTGCACCCTATCGGCCCCAGTCCACTCAAGGTCACCGTCCTTGCTCCTAAACCGTACAAATTCTTTAATCGAACATCAAAAAGGATGATTATCAATAATAGAAATATGGAATCGATATGATGTTAATCGATGAGAGAATTGAATTGCAGGGTTAAAGTACCTTTAACTGCTTAGCATATTGTTTGATAAGAACTGTGGCATATTGCTCAGGGGAAAAAGTTGAACTACTTGTATAAAAAGCAGGCTTGTAGTAATTGTTAATGTAATCATTGCTTCCTATTGCAACTGAATATAAGCATTTGTTCAGGTGCTTGGTAGCCAAGTTCTGATCTTTTAGCATGCTAACAATGCGTGAAACGGTTATAAGGTGATTTTTTATCTGCTTATTGAAGCCAATGTTGATGCCCTGTGAAAGAAAAAAAAATGTAAATCAAAATGGTTAAGCGTATATTGGCTACCTTAAAACCCCCTTTGTTTTCTTTCAAGTGTAAACATTTGCATGCATGTGGGTATCAAGTCAGAAATTACCAAATTTCTCCCAGTTTCATCAAGAATTCCTGCTGAACCAGATGCGTAGTTGACACCTTGGAGGACCTCCTCGTCCTTAGCAGTTGAAAAGGGTGGGATGAAATTCTCAAAACCCAAGAATTGAGCTGTAATCAGAGAAATAATGTCCTATTAGCATTACATGATTGGTATAAACTATGCATGCCTACACCGCAGCTAACATTAATTCAAAAAAAAAAAAAAGCATCTGAGGCAAAATCCTGATCATGTGAGAGGGAGGGGGGGGGGGGGGGAGAACTGGGAATCAATTATTTAACAAAAGCCCAAGTCTGGTTTAATGAAAATGGAGTTGTTAGAGACGTGAGAGAGGAAGGGCATACCAAAAAAGTCCGTGAACGTTCGACCATTGGTAAACCTTCCAGTAGGTCCACCAGGAAAGTCAATTCCATATGGTGGGTAATTGGTTTTAGCTGCAGTAGAAAGGTTATTATTATTTCCACTGTCAACCAATGAGTCTCCAAAAATAAAATAACAGGGCACTTTTGGTTCCCGAGGTTCGATTTGTTGAATGTTTAAAAGCCCCAGAAGAACAAGAATCAACCAACAGGGTGTCGTTTTACATGCCATATTCATTCAACTAATGAAAATCCAAAACCAAGTTTGAAGAAAAGCAAATATGGTGCAAAGAAATGCAAGGTTGAATCAAGAAGAAAATTAGATCTCGAAACAAATACTACGCACTAAATGGCAAATTGAGGATTGTAAATTGTAAGGTAAGAAATTAAAGTAGGACAGCAAATGAGTCGTAGCAAAAGCTTATTTGCAAAAGACAAGCACCAAATACAAAATTGTTGGCTAATGTCAAACATACGATTTCATGTGTTAGTGACCGGAAGTTTCGTTTAGAAATCGTGGGAACAAGGATTTCATGTGTTAGTGACCAGAAGTTTCGTTTAGAAATGAAGTTTCGTTCACACAAGTTTCGTTTAAATGTTTGCCGACTACAATTAGCAAGCAAGCTATTTATTTATTAATGTCTTTGTTTTAAAAGCTAACGGGTTTGAACCGGATTAACTCCATCACGAAAAGATAGGCAAGACAAGAGAAGATATGGGCCTTAAGATTGGCAGATCTAGCTCAAACTGGAGTGGACGAAATCTTTTTTCTAAAAGTGGCTTATTGGGCCGAACTCAACGCTGGAAAGTAGCAGCAAGTTACCTTCAAACTATGTCTAGATTAGCCATGGGGGCTTTGACTTGGTGGCAATTACGAGTTTCTAAGTTGAAGTTTTATTATGTGAAGAGTCGATTGAATTTTACGTTGGACTTGTCTAGTTATGTTTTAATTTATGATTAGTTTATTTATTTGTTTATTTAATTATTTTTATATGAATACAATATTTAATTATGAATATAATTTATAATTTAATAACAATGTTTAAATGAAAGGGAAGCAAAGAAAGAGAAATTTGGATAAAGAGAAGTTGTTTAGAAATTAGGGTACCAACTACCAATTAAAGAAGAGAAGTGGAATAAATTTCTTTGTGATGACTACTCACTCTCATCTGGTGTTGCAAATCCAAAAGCCATTAGCATTATAAGTACTGATGATACAAAACCAAAATTATACATTAATTACTTTCACAAAGATACACCCATTTGTAGACTCTGATATATAGTTGAACCTATAATTAAATGCCATATCCCTTAGAACAATGACACTAATGATTGTAGCAAAATTTAGAAGTAAAGAAAAATAGTGTGGATTAGATGAATAATTTATTATTTATTATCCCATTAAAAGCCTCATCTCCTTCTTCAGAGCTGGGCAAGACGGCGGATATCGATGGGGTAAGCGTCCGAGGGAGACTGAGCACTGTATGATCTCCTTCCAATGATCACATTTGCAGCCTCAGTTGGATGAAAAGCATCCCAAAACAAATACTCGTCCCTATTTTGACATGGAGTTTGGTAAGGCAAGCAGGTTATTTGCCCATTGTTCCTCCCCACCCCACAACACCCTGCATTGGTTACCTTAAAACCTGAAATTTACAAAACGTACAATTAAAACATTAGTTATTAGTACTTACAAAAAAATCATTTCAATCAGTGTCAATGGGCTCTGTCTAACATTTGTGGTACAATATTTACCGTAAGCTGCAGGATTGCTTGTCATGTCTTGGAAAATTCCATAAGCATTAATGTAGATAAATTTTGCATCAGAGTTGGCGTTATTGAATTGATCAACAAGACCTCTAAGCTTGTTATTGAAAATCCGGTTGGCAGCATTGATTCTCTCCACACAAGTTTTACCATCTCCGCTATTTTGAGCCAATTCATTTGGACTGCATCCGATCTGACCCAACCCAATCAACACAAACTTCCTTGCCCCATAGTTGTACATAGCCTGGAGACCAAATATCCACAGCATTTTATTATAATCATCGATCAGAGGAGATTAGTGGGGTAAACAAGGAAATACATATATGTAAAATAATCAATGGAAATTGGAAAATGCTAAACCTGAAGCTGCTGAGAGTATTGTTGAATAAGAAGATTAGCATATTGCTCGGTGTTATATTGCCTGCTTGTTGAGTAATAAAGAGGCATGAAATAGTTGTTAAGGTAATCATTGCTGCCCATTCCAATTGAGTAAATACACTTGCTTAAATAATTTGCTGCTGTATCTTCATTCCCTAGCAAGTTTACCACTTGTGAAACTGTTTGCTGGTAATTTCTCACTTGCCCGCTAAAGCTGATCCGAGCTCCCTAGTAAAGTTGCATATAAAAATTGTTAGCTTGGTTATTGATGCAATAATTATAGATGATAGATTATTATATTAAAGAAACTATCCAATGTTAACTAATTAATTACCAGTTGCTGTCCAGTCTCTTCTCTGATTCCGGCAGCCGCGGATGCATAATTCACTCCTCCGAGTATTTGTCTGCCTCTTGCAGTTGAGTAAGGAGGAATGTAATTGTCAAAGCCCAAAAGCTGACCTGTAGATAGAAAACATAATGTTAAAATCATATAATAGACGACGATTAGAAGAGAAAAATGAAATTCACTTCACTGTGCTGCCCTACTAATGGAAATCACAAAATAATTTATTGTTGGCAAAAGAAAAGGTGTCGTATGCTTATCCTGCTTCGGGATTTTGGAGGCCATGTTGATCATTTGATTAAAGAACCCAGAAAATCAAGGGGAATATTGATATTACAACATGCCTTTACTACACTAATATTTTCAGTTTTGAAGTTCCAAAAATAAACATTGTAAAAAATTAACTCTATAAATCGTTGTATTAATATCATCCAAATTGATCTATTCAATCTGTTGCTTTCGAAAAGACACTAGTGAAAGAAACCCAAAGTTTAATTAGCCAAACAGATGAGGAAATTAAAAGAAATTAAATTATAGAATCTCACCTATGACATCGACTGTAGTTTTACCATTAGAAAACCTTCCGGTCGGTCCATTTGGGAAGTCAATCCCATAAGGCAAGTAATCAGCTCTAGCCAATGAAGATAGTTGATTATTATTCCCATTATCCACCAGTGAATCTCCAAAAATAAAGTAACAAGGAACTTGAGGTGCTCCTCTAACCCCGATGCACAAACTCAAAACCAAAAACACCCCATACCATCTCTCCATATTACTAGCAAATTGTAAGTATCAAATTACAGCTGATCGTAAAAAGAAAGAATGATGGAAATGTGTGTGAGAGTAAGATTATGGAAATGATAGCATACCGGGTGAGTAATATAAATGCTAACAGGTAAGCATATATATAGAGAGAGAGAAGATTATTAAATCATCAAAAGACAAGGCAGGTGATAATGTTTTTAGCTTTTACAGTTGAAGAAGTAGGTTAGATGCATTGATTTCACGCGGAGATAATTTGAGTTAGTCTGGACTCCAATGCCGGCATTGTATCTCTCAGTCTCTCAGCTTTGAATTTCCTGATGCAATTGGATTATTACTCAAAACAAAAAAGCTAGCTTGTCGGTCCACAGTCGGCTTGTTTACAGTAGTACCATATATATGTATCTTTTCTTTCCTTTTATTCTTAATTGTTGGTTTAGTCTAAAGAAATAAATAGTCACATGATTATGAAATATTAATCAAGGCCATTCTCTCCTAGCTATTGTTACAATTCTGCATTGCTATAGACTTGTCTACTTCTATTGATGAAACCTCCAAAGGGCCACATTGATATATAGTAGAAAAACAGGATTAATAACATAGGGCTAAGAGGTTTTTTAAATGTATTTTGACCAAGAAATGAGGTCTACTATAGAAAATTAACCATTTCAGCATCAATTTTATGTGGCATGATTAATTTAACAGTGATAAAGATTGCAGTTAGTTAGCTGGTAAGTATATAATTCATGTAATAAATTTCATTTTAATATAAAGCCTTATATCATCATCCCAACACAATTTCTTATATTTATATTTAAAATTGTATATAGTTCATACAGTTTCATATATTTATATATGTTTTCAAAGATGTTTGATCAGGAAAAACGAAAAAAAAAAAATGTTTACTCTCAAATAAGGGGAGAGACAGTCGTTTATTATATGGTCAGTACTGATTTCAATTAATCTCCATTAAAGTGAAGCTTTACCCTTTTTTTTCAACTCGATTATGTAATGATATTGACAGGATGGTGATAAATTTTCTGAAATGAAGATATATATAGTTATCATGGATCAATTACACCCTATACCTATAATCAAAGAAAAAAAGAAATAGATTGCTGCCCTAATTAATATTGTATCTGCGCCATTAAATGTTCACATCGTTTAGGACCAATTGCATCGTTTCATAGGCCCATTTTTTGTTCACATTTTCTTGTGAATTAGCTTTCATATCCTCAAGATTTCAACGCCTATTTGAATATGGGAAAAGGAACATTTGCAAAGTCGATTCTCAAAAAAAAAAAAATAATTTGGCATCTCATGAACTTAGAATCCATTTAGATGAATAATGAGATTAGTTCTAATAAAATTAAAAATATCGATAAAGGTGAAATTAGCACTATAATGTGATATTGGATATTACAATAGTGAGATTAAAGTTAATGATAATATATATGTTTAAATACAAAAATAACAGTGATAATAAGGTGAATTGTAATAAAAAAATAATCATTAAAAACATTAAAGTTAAAATTATATTAACAAAAATTTTAAATTATTTAATGTTTATAAAATTAATAAGAATTTTATTTATTAGTTAATTTATTATAATAAATAATTTATTATAATAAAAAATTATTTTGTAATTTTCAAATAAAAAATAAAAAAATTAAACTATAGGTTTATTTTTATCTTTATAATATAAAATGAAGAATGAGAAAGGAAAAAAAAAAAGATGAAGATTTGCATTTTTTCACTGGAGCTAAAATCATAAGTGAAAAATGCAACAAAAATGATCCAATCGTGATGCTGCTTTGACATCCAAATGGATATTTACTAACAATAGACACAAATTTGTTTAGCAAACACACCTCTATTGAAGATGCAATTAAATCCAAATAGGACCTTAGTTAATGGAAGAAAAATGGCAACTCAAATCACAGTCACAGGCTGTCACCAAAGGCGAATCTAATAATTTGAGAAAAGAGGGATCAAATAAAAATTTTATTAAGAAAGAAGGAACCAAATATTATTTTTGATAAGATGAGATACCGTGTTACAATGGTTTAAAAGAAATTTGGGGGGCAGTGGCCTTGCCGCCGTTAGCCACTCCCCTGCCCATTACACTAACCAATACTGACCTCTTGTGGTCTTGTTCCTGCACATATATATCACCTTTTCAACTTTTTGCATTTAATTTTACGTTTACTTTGATCATCTTCTCAATTCAGTGCATGCATTAATATTTAAAGCAAATTGATTACATAAAAAACTTTAGTTCGATTCAAAACCAGGATATGGTGGAGCTTTACGTGAAAATGAAAATGCATCAACGATCAGGATTCAAGATCTTTCGGTCGAGCAGAGATGAACCTGAGGCTGCATCATGTATGTGTATTTGAAAAATGAACCAACTAAGGTCATTAATGGCAGTGGGTAGCCAAATTTAATGTAGGAGAGAATAAGTCATACCGAGTAACATGGGTCTTCCAGAGCAATGCATTGGTGCACATCAGCTGTGTACTCACTGGCTTGTCGTTGACCTCGGGTGTCGGTTTTACGAGTTCCGACTTCCAAATGCAGTGGCAGAAAATGTTGATCATTGGTTCATTGGTGAGGATGGAATAATAAATTGGGTAGCATTTGCATGGTTTATAGTTCAATGTAGTATGAGTTGAAATCCTTAAATTTTCGACTAGTTTCTCAACCATATCATCTGCCATATAATGAAGATATGCATTCCCAAACTCAATGCCAACCAATATTTCAAAATCAAGTAACAGTATAACTTGTGATTTGGGGCCTTGGGGGCAATTTCATTGTACCTTTTAGAACGTCATATCTTCATTAATATATCATTTATACTAATGTTAAAATGTTTGACTGAATTGATATCACAAGTTAAAAAAAACCAACTCACTTGCGAAATTTATTTGAATACAAAGTAAACCTATAACAACTAAATGTAGGTACAAGTATTAGCATCTTTTATCTTGTTAAACATCTATCCTTACATCTCATGTTCAGCAAATGTCTTTCTTTTGTTTTTAAAACATAATTCCTTTTTTTCAATTATTTTTTTTTTCATTTTCATTCACATTGTAGGTGTACAATATCTAGTGAACATCTAAGTCTTTCATGTTTTAACTATTGAACCTTATGCTGAACATGCATAGGTTGCTCAATGCCCACAAGACAACATTATGATTATGAAATAAGCTAGTGAGACCGTGTGAGAGCACATTGGACTCCAATATAGAGGTAAAACTTACATGAAATTCTTTTATGTAAAGTTTATGAAATTTCTTCTTAAAAATAATTTAATAAAAATTTTAACAAAAAATTTAAACCGATAGATTGATAAAATTCATTGTGAAAATAAATAATATGTAAAAAAAATTATTAAAAATATTGTTTATAATTCAAATTTAATTGATACTTATTCAATGTTAAAAGTTCTATCAAACATTTTTATAAAAAATATCTATCTAAAAATATATATATCAAAATTCATTAAAATATTTTTAAATTTTGCACATGTAACAAAAATTTTTAATTTATCAATTTTAATTTTAATTTTAATTTTTTATTTAATCATTTCTAAAAAAAATTTCATAAATTTCATCTAAAAATTTTCGTATAAGTCCTTCCCCCAATATATATATATATATATATATATATATATATTTATATATATATATAAGAACAAAGACCTGCAAAGACTAACTTATGGAGCTATTTGTGGACAGTGCGAATGTGTTAATGAAAGCAAAAGTTATTAAAAGCGTGAATCATGGGAAAATGAGTATAAAATTAAACACATTTATTATAAGTATGTGATTTTGAGCATGATCAATTGGTGAAAGATTTGTTTGGATAAATTGAAACAATTAAGAAGGAGCATAGTTGAAATGAACACGACGACATTTGATCAACTTATCGATGTGGTATGGCTGGACACAAATGTTGATTTGATTTAGCCCATCACCCACGACATGGTTTGTTGTTGTTCATGACCATTTTCTATTTACATACAAAATGCCCAGTCGCATTTTTTGAATGGGCAGTTCCTCAACATATTGGGTTTGGACTAAGGGCGCTGCTGGGCCCGGAACAAATGATCTGCAAGAGGTTTTGTTTCAGTAACCAATTACAAGTTCCAATTTTTTAAGCTGTTGGCTTATCAGTGGAGCACATGTTTAAAAGTAACTGTTCTATCACGACGTGGCTCATTATTAGAGCAGATGTTCAAAAGTAATTGTTCAATGGACTACCCGTAGCATTACCCAACATTATTTTGATGTATAACATATCAGCATTTTAAAAAAAAATCAAAACTGTTTTTATTTAATTCTAAATCATTAATATTTTTAAATGCCTAATTTTCATCTAACATAATTTCTAACTATGGCATTGACGTAGTCAATTTTTTTTTAACAAGAATGCAGTCAACTATCTAGGAGTTAAATCTTTTTGTAAATAAGCGCATGCAATCAATCTCTGAAATTCCTTACCAAGACCTGACCCGTCCCTCGATAATTTTTCAAGTCATCATTCCCCAATTGCAAGTAGTCCCTTAATAATCCTCCTCCTCCTCCTCCTCCTCCTCCCTATACTTTTCTTTGCACCGTTTCATTAACTTCCTTTAATGCCCACTTTTCCAAAACATTGCAAATTAATTACCGAACTGAAAGAAAAAAATTTTATGAAAAAAAAGGTACCGATTTTTTAACCGCATTGATAAGTCGGTTGAAGTACATTCGATTCGAAACTGCGACGTTTCCCTAATTCGAGTGATCGCTCCATCCCCGAGTTGGACTGAGTCAACTCGCCCGCCCTACAATCTCCCTAACTCCCTAACTTTCAAATTCGATACGACGCTGTAGAATTCTCCGTAATCAAGATCCTTACACCAGACGTAGTTCCAAATGCAGTCCCATCCTACCGACCAAGCCGCACCTCAAAACGCTACCCCTTGCCATCGCTCCAGCTACTTGGCGATGAGCCCCGCACGGCCTGAGCCACTCGCGTCCCCCGCTTGCGGAGAGTAAGTTGGCCACGCGCGTTAGGAGGGAGTGGAAGGCGGGTTTTTTAATTGAAGGTAAGATAAGGAGTTTACGGGTTGTGGTATTGTGGCAGCGTAGAGAAGGATGAAAAGTATTGTAGTTGCGTGTGGTGGTTAAATCATGGCCCTTAAATTAAGGCGTTTTTTTATTGTTGACGGACGTTCCGCCGCGATTTTTAGGGCAGGTCAGGTGGTGGAGTCGGTGCATTGCCGGGCGAATAGTGCCCATCACTGGACTGTGGATTGATCTGAAATTCTAAAGACCAATCTGGGCTTTTATTTTCTTTAGACCCCACAATCCCT